GAACTGAATTAAAAAAAAACTCAACAAAATAAAACTAAACTATAATGAAACAGCTAAAACTATTATAACCTTGGGCGAGACGTTTAAAAAATATCCCTCCTCTCTTTAACAGGACGGACAACTCCATCAAGAACCACTGGAATTCCACCATGAGGAGGAAAGTGGAGCACGAGGGTTACCTGCAGGACGGCTTCAAAGTGCTGACCTCCTCCACCAAGAGACGTCATAAAACGTGTCCCACAGAATCTCAGCTCTGTGACCGGAGTCCTCTGCCTGCGACAGGACCCAACCAGGTCCATTTTCATCTCAATGGAGCTTTGATATATTTGTGCTCCTTTCTGAGTCGATGCTGTGCGTTGCAGATGGCTGGTTTCTCGTACGATCCCGCCAGTGGACACATGATGGACAGCATTCCTGACAATGCTGGCTTTGTGAGTCTTTTGCTTTTGAAACTCCTGTGCATGCCAAAACAGCAAACATTTCACACCTTTTATTCTCTTTATACTTGTGATTGCTAACTTTGGACAAATCAAGCGATTCAACAACTTGACTGTCCTGTTATTTTCAACCTAACATCCAATGATGTGTGTGAATTTGTGCTCGTTTTTGTCTCCTTTACACTGATTTTTTTTCCCCACCTCTCCACACTCTTTCCCCTTTACTCTTTTTTTTTTCTCCTCATGTCGACCTCTCCTCCTCCCTGACGTTTATTTATTCCAGCCGCCCTGCCTGGATGATCCTGACAGAGAGCAAAGAATTAAGGAGCTTGAGCTGCTGCTTATGTCAGCAGAGAGAGAAGTCCAGCGACAAGTGCAGTGCAGAGGTTCCTGTGTAAGAACACACTCCCAATGTGTGTTAGCAGCTAGTTAGCATAGCGTGCGTGTGTTTGTAGCTTGCATACACTGTAAAAAGGCTCATTTGAATTTAAAATACTACATTAAACGATGAATTAGTAAGAAATACATTGGTTTTTTTTTGTCTAATCTGATGTTAATGTGCTTTTTGCAGTGTATACTCATGAAAACAAGTATGGCACATTTGTTCATGCCTGCCTGATTTGCTGTAGTGTTGCTATAGAAACTCCATTCTTCATCTCCCCRCTCACTCTGATTGGGCTGAAACTGCTTTGTAGTCACATCACATCCTGCAGTAACCCTCCCTGTTGTCTTGATCTCCCAACTATACTCTCTCATACATCAAGAAGCTCGTTTTCCAACAGGCTGCGTTTCTGTCAACGCCTGAAATTATTCCTTCACTGCATTCCAACGTCCCCCTGTCATTCACAGTGATTTCCCCTTTTTTAAACCATTTCCCCTCAGTCCAACTCCAGCCCGCCTCCTCCTAACGCCGGCGTTCTCTCTCTGCCGTCCCTCAGAGCGTGAATCCCGGGGATTCGTACCCAGCCTGGTCAGGCAGCGCCTCAGATGAAGCCTTCACCGCGAGCAGCGGCAGCCTGGAGGAGCTGGCCGAGGGGCCGGGACCCTGGAGGGGTCCGGCAGGGCCTCCGGCGCAGCTTCCCATCTCCCCCAGCAAGTTCCTGTCCCTGGAGGCCAGCGCAGTGCTCTGCAGCCTGCAGACCATCCCGGAGTTTGCAGAAACTATGGAGCTGATTGAGTCAGTGAGTAGCAGAAAGAAACAACCTGAAAAAGCAGCTTTTTTTTTTCATGCGAGAGTGCAGCGGGTTTCCTGCAGGGTCTTAAAAAGTCGAGAAAAAAAGTCTAAAATTAGAAAATCTAAATTTTAGGCCTAAAAAAGTCTTGAGAACACCCAGATTTCCATCCAAAGTCTGAAATTTTATTTTGTCAGTATTAATTTTTTTACTTTCAATCATTCCCAGAAGCGTTGGCTGCAGAGTAAATCACAGTAATCAGAGGTTGTTGCGATCTGTCTTCATGAGGTGCTTAGTTCACTGCCAGTATTTGTACGCGTTAAACTACAAATCCTGTGATAACTGCAGGCAAAATATGGCACACTTTACTTCCATGTTTTCAGCCACTTTGCCGCTACAACCCCCCACATACGGCAGCTTCTTTACCTGCTCAAAAAACAAATAAGTTCAGTCATGTCCACTGCTTGTGGTTTAAACATGGGAAAGTTTGTTTTAATGAGACTTGGCTGAAATCAGTGATTTCTGCTCTCGGTTGGAAGCAGTCCACAGCAGTCGAAATGAAGAKCTCATAGATATGACTGTTTCATTAAAATTATTTAATGTTCTTGTATTAAAATTAAACATTCTTTCATAGCTAAGTTGATAGCAATAAAAAGGTTTATGTTAAAATATTTGGGATCATTTGAATGTTTTTGTTAATGCGTCAGTTTGGTCTTAAATGTCATTACTAATGGTCTTAAAAGGTCTTAAATTTAATTTACTGAAACTGCATGAACCCTGGTGCAGAGTGACTGCATGTGCTTGAGACCAAATCTGTATTGGAAAGTTTAAACAATCAGAGCAGAGGCTAAAATTAGCAAAATAGTAGCTAAAAGCTGAAAATAAAGTGTTGCTATTAAAGTTAGCAAACTTGTAGCTCAACGCTAAAATGAGCAAAAATGTGGATGATGCTAAAAACAGCAGTGTTGTATAAAGTACCTGAAAGTGATACTTGAGTAAAAGTACAAGTATCTTATCAAAAAATTATTTTGGTAAATGTTAAAGTCTCCTCTAAAATATTATTTGAGTAAAAGTCTTAAAGTATCTGATTTGTTTTTTTATTTAAGTATTAAAAGTAAATTTCTGACATAAAATGTACTTAAGTAACAAAAGTAAAAATGAACAGTTAGATTTTCCAAAATACATTTATTGGAAGGTGACCATTTCAAAAAACAATTTTTCTAAAAACATGGAGCTTTGATTAATTGTATACAAACTACTGTATTTATTCATGTTTAATACTAGAAATTTAACCCTAAAAATCATAAAAAAGTAGGGGGGTAGTATTATACACGGTTTATTAGTAATTAGATTTTTTATGCTTTTTAAGTTAAAAAAATGATGATCGTATTATACATGAATAAATACGGTAAATACAGTATCAGAATGGTATATATTTATACTTCTCATCCAACCACAATTAAAATCACTCTATCCTGGATGCACAATTTATCAGGATAATATTTTATTAATTTTTTTATTTTTTATTAAAATCTTTATTATTTCTTTAAAACAAATCAGTTCTATGTTCAAATATAGAAACAAATACAATGAAATGAAAGGAAGCAGAGAGAAGAAAAAATCTTACGAAATCTGCCCCCTTTTTTCCTCAAGTATAAACTCAAACAATGCTAATCTTCAATAAAACAAAACATGAAAAACGTCAAATTCTTCTAGAACACAGTTTTACATGAATACATATTATACTGTTTCATATTTCTTCAAAAGCCCCACTTTTATATATATTTTTAACAATAACAAGCCAAAACAAAATAGGAGAAACGACTTCCTACTTCTTACCTTTTTAAAAATGTAAGGAGTAGAAAGTACAGATAACTGTGTGAAAATGTAGAAGTAAAAAGTAGACTGGAACAGAATTACTCAAGTAAAGTACAGATACCCAAAATTTCTACTTAAGTACAGTAACAAAGTATTTGTACTTTGTTACTTTGTTTGTATGTTTTTAAAAGTTCTTAATGTGTTTTTATAATTAAATAAATCAAAAAGGTATAAAAGTTACAAATACTAAAACTAAAAACACTATTCCCAACTGAGCCGAGCATTTTGATGTGTTTAAAATAACGCATGCASAAGTAGCTTGATTGCAAAAAGATATAATAAAATCCATGGAAGAAACTATAACCTAGAAAACTGTTGTATGAAATAACACAAGTGTAAAATGACCATTTGATGGTTTTTGTTATGTTTAATTGACAGGACGCTGCAGCGTGGAACAATGTAGCCGGTTTTGATTTGTCCAACACGGCGCCGTCACCCAGGCACAACCCGGCAGTCTACACCGACCTCCTGCAGGAGAAAACCRTTTACAGCTCAACGGGTTTCACCGTCGACACGCCCGCCGCCTCGGGCCGAGACAGGAGCGCCGCTCCTTTTGGCTCGGGGTGCAGCAACCCGTCCAAACCCACTCAGGCATCCGCCGGGAGGAAGAGGAGAAGAGACAAGGGGGAGCCTCTGTGTGACAAGACCTGCACCTCCTTCTTGGACAACGTCTCGCCCAAGAAAACCCCCACAAAGTCCCAGCCGTTCACACCTTCACAGGTAAAATCTGATTTTATTTAATATTACACGCCTCACCCACACACAGATGTTGGATCAGTCACGTGGCTAATGCCTGTTTTTTTTTTTTTCTTTCAGTTCTGCAACATATCCGGAACAGAGCACCTGAGTCTGGATGACCCCACGCTGACCTCCACTCCTGTGTGTGGTCAGAGGTGGCTCCTCCACACGCCTCTCCACAAAGAAACCACACCTAAGCGCCAGAAAGAGAATGATGGGTAAATAAGTGAAGGAAGCTAGAAAATGCAGGTTTTTTTCTGGAGAAATTTGCTGTAACGATGATGATTGTTTAGTTCCAGGACCCCCAAATTTCGTAGAAGTGCTGCAGTTTTGACTCCGAGGACACCGACTCCATTTAAAAACGCTCTGGCTGCCCAGGAGAAGATGCACGGGCCACTGCGGATGGAGGTAGAGCGGTCAGGTTTTTGTGTGTGTAGTTCAACATGCTGCTGATTGCTATTATTATTTGTAATTTTTTAACAAACGTTTCTTGCTGTGTTTTAAGCCGCAGCCATTGGCACTTCTAGAAGAGGACATTCGAGAAGTTCTGAAGCAGGAGACTGGAACAGACATCTTCCACCAGTCAGACCACAGAGTGTGGAAACATCATGTGGGTTTTTCCTTGAACTTTTTCTGCTGTTTTATTTGAGCTTTTTTATCRTTATTTGAAGTCCAATAAAAGAGTTTTAGTTACATTTTTTTGTCTCATGTTTAGATGGAAGGTCCGGCTAGAAAAGTGCGCAAGTCTCTTGTATTAGACCCTTGGGACAAAGACAATCTTGATGTCCAGCTCTTCCAGGAGCAGCTCAACAACGCACAGGTAAGCTTCACCTGACGAATGTCAGAGCAAAGTTTCTGCCAAATATTTTGTTGTAAATCCCACTTCATTACAGATTTCTGAGGAGAGTCTGCTGACGAGCTCGTCTTCACTGATCCTCCCGATCGTCRAAGAGGAGGGTGGGCAGCCTTTGGCCTCCGAGGAAGACGAGCCCTCCTCCTCTGGGAGTCTTCCTCGCCTCTTTACCAGCCCTCGTATGCCTAAGGTTTCCTCTTCAATCAAAGCACTGAAACCTGCACAGGTAAAGCTGAACCTGATTCAGAATGATGAATGACCTGCTCAGAATGTCATCAAGTTTAGCAGAAGCCAGGTCAGGTGTGTTGAAGCAGGGAAACATCTAAAACATGCAGGGCAGTGGGTCATGATAAGACCCCAGCTTTTGGTTTCAGGGTATTGAATAAAGAAGGTTAAAATAAATTAGGTGCTTTATTAGTGGTTTAAGTTAAAGTGTACAATTTAAAGCAATGAAAATACTGAACCAGCCTTTGAGGAGTTCATATCACCTGCAGCCTTGCATGCCAAAGCTGTAAACAGATCTTGTGTTGGGGGATCACTCAGCTGATACCACACCCAGTTTTAACTCATTATGTATGACTGAGATCTTTTTTTTCCCAAAGTTTTATTTGGCACACATTCTTTTTGTGCTAGTTCATCAATTTAGTTATCAAAATGTTCAGTTCTTTCAGGTCTATGATCTTTGGTACTTCACAAGTTTTATTTATTTATTTTTGGCCATTTTTTTTCTCATTGAAAATGACTGGAGCCGTCTTTAACCTTTAAAACCCTTGAAAATGTTCATAAATTTTTACTGCACGTTCGACCTATTGTTCTAGTTTAGCCTTTTTAACACCTTTTATACTAATTTCAGCTTCCTTTACCTCCTTTTTACCTGTTTTGAGCTTTCCTACTTTTTCAGCTATCATTCAGTTAAATTCAAAAATACTTTATTGATCACAAAAGGAAATTACATTCTGGCATTTCCTGTAATTCTTCTGATAATTTCAACTTTTTGTGCCTTTTTTTCAGCTTTTCTTCCTATTTTATTTAAGCTTTTTATGTTTCTTTAAGCGTTTTATTTATTTATTTGCTAATTTCAGCTTTTTTCTACCTTTTTCTGATAATTTCAGCTTCTCAATGCTTAATTCAGCAAACGTGCTCTTTCAGTTTTTGTGTTAATTTCAGCTTTTTTCAACTTATTTTTAGGCTAGTTTCAGCTTTTTTTTTAAAGCTTTTCATCAAAAATCTTTCAGCATAAAGCATTCTCACTGCATTTTTGCAGGAAATGCAGATTCTGTCTTTATACTGTATATACACTGTATACTTTCTCCTCAGGTGAGCGAGTGGGAAGCAGTGGTTTATGGGAAAACTGAGGACCAGTTGATCATGACAGAACAGGCTCGTCAGTACCTGAACCCCTACCCGTCGTCTGGCTCTACCTCCCGGGCTCTCGTGCTCTAAAGCCAACCCCTTAAGCAGCACTACACCCATCCAACGACTACAAACTCCCCCCGAGTCCTTTAAGAGACAATCCAGAGCAGCAGAAACACACCACCGAGGACACTGTCCACCGAGGACACTGTCCACCGAGGACACTGTCCACCGAGGACACTGTCCACCGAGGACACTGTCCACCGAGGACACTGTCCACCGAGGACA